AGGTCCCATTTGTTAATTCTTGACCTTGTTTCCTGAGCAATTGATGTCCAGCTTAGAAAATCCTTTCCTACACCTATAGAACAAGGGTTTAATTATGCTTACTTCTAACTAGATACTGTTGTAATTTTTTGCTCTGGCTAACGTCAACCTGTACTTCTATCAGGAAAGGGATGTAAACAAGCCAGTGAAGAATGACACCTGTGTACAGCTTTGATTGCAAAACTAAAGAATCGTTTCAGAACAAGGGTTTAATTATGCTTACTTCTAACTAGATACTGTTGTAATTTTTTGCTCTGGCTAACGTCAACCTGTACTTCTATCAGGAAAGGGATGTAAACAAGCCAGTGAAGAATGACACCTGTGTACAGCTTTGATTGCAAAACTAAAGAATCGTTTCAAAGGCTTACCGTTGGGACTTTAACCTTCTTTAACCTGGCAAGAAAGCCTTTGATCTCTCTCTTGACCTGTATTTCTTCTAGAAACACCTTAAGTGTGTGGCATTATAGGTGCTCTCAGAACCAGCTCTAGGCATGATATTTGATGCTATTTTGAATAATACTGAATTTTATTCAGTTCTTGTACATAGTAGGCATTTAGTAACATCTAGTGAATTACATTGCTCTTTAGTTGCATCTTATAATAGCTCTTTAGAGCAGGGTAGCTTCTGCTGCATGTGTGGAAGAAGTCAGCACAGGGTAACTGACTGACCAGTCTGTATCTCTTTTCTTCTGGTCATTCCTTCTTGAAATCTGAGCAAGTAGCTCATCAAATTCTTTGGACACAACACGTACTTGTGCCTAACTTCACAAGGAAAATATCGCCACTCGACCTCCTCATTCTGTGACTAACGGGCAAGGAAGCTGGTAGCTCAAGAGCTGATGGCCACTGTGTGATCACAGGCACATTCTGTAACTTTAGGACATGGCATTCATTAGTGCTTTGGAAGTGGGTGGGGCGGTGGTGGGGATGGGGGGTGGCATTCACTGAATATTAAATCTCAAAGCTTGCCAAAGAATTTGGCTCATTGTGCATTTTAAATTATACCTAAAAACGAAAAGGAAGTATGAGTGGAGTGCCCCCCACCCTCAAAGAAGCAGACATAGATTAGAGTTCAATTCCTTAGGAATTAACTGCATAATGAGTTTTCTATTCTTTCCAACCAGCCAAAATCAAATCATTTTCTAGAGGAACCTCCAATGTGTCCTAGGGTGGATTAGGCTTAGGGAACACATTCAGGGTAAGAATCCAAGATGCTGTGCTATGGTGGTATTCTGGGGGGCGGGGGCACCTGGAACGCTTTATGAAATGGCATGGTGACTGAGACACCTGTGTCAAGAGGTTAAGAAGAGGATAACCTAACATCTTAAGCTTTCTCTGGGAGCACTTAGGGGCTAGCATCTGTGAAAAACCAAAACCCAAGCCAAACAAACAAATCTTTAAAAAGACTTCAATTTTTCATGTTAGTTTTGTGTAAGGGTCTGAAAGGCAGGGCTTTGGGGAAGGCCTTCAATTCTATGTGACAGTGAGTTGTCTTTATCCTGTGAGATGGCTCTCCTCTCTTGGTCATTTGCACTCACAGGCAACAGTGTTCAGCCAGGATTGTCACGGGCCTCAGGCTCGGGTCTTGCAGGGGTTATGGTGCTCTAAGTTATTGTCTGTGACCAGAGATTTACTCCACTGTTGTGGGCAATGCTGTGTTAGTACAAAATTTAATATGATGAAAAATGAAATGCCAGTTCACAAATAAGTATTCCAAAACATCAGAAAGGGCTTGGTAAGCTGTTCCTTAAAGCAAGGAGAGGTTGGGACCAAGTCAGCCAACCAAAGCCCATAAAAGAAAACCATCACTCACCAAAGTGAAACTTCTGGACCGAGAGCTGCTGCTTCGACTCTCCAGACTGCCACCTCTGCTCAAGTCACTGAGCTTGCAGCTGGGCGACATGTCAGCGTCCATCTCCAAAGACTCTGGTTTCTGATGGTTTACAGGCATCCCCACACAAAGTTCATTCACTGGCTGGCTCATAGGAAATGGGCAGGAGCCAGTATCCCATTCTGAGGCCCACGAGGTCTTCTAGGGAAATCAAGCACAGAACAGCAGTGGTTACTGAGTCTGGAAAGTGCCTCCTTCCCCAAAAGTGAAAGGCCAGTCCCGTGCTCATGGAGTACAAGACTTAATATTGTGGAAATGCTATCTTACCAAAAGCAATCTACAGATCCAATGCAATCTCCATCAAAATTCCAACACCATTCTTTACAGAAACAGAAATCTTAAATTTCATTTGAAAACACAGAACACCTCAGATAAGTGAAAGGATAATGCTGGGCCTAGGGAGATGGCTCGGTGTGTTAGAGTGCTTGCTGTGCAAACACCAGGATGTGAATCTGAATCCCCAGCAGCACATAAAAAGCCAGGCAACCTGTAACCCCAGTGCTGTGGGGGACAGAGACAGGAAGATCACTGGGGGCTTGTTGGCCACCAGTTTATCTTCAGTTTCAGTGAGACCTTGTCTCAAAGGTGGAGAGTGACAGAGAAAGTCACCTAATATCCTCTGTCCATACATGCACATATGTCCTACCCCCATAATTAATAATGCTGGAGGTATCGTGATACCTGATTTTAAGTACACGTTACAGAGCCATAGTAACAAAAGCAGCACAGTACCGGCATAAGAACAGACAAGCAGGTCAATGGAACATAATAATATAAGATCTAAACATAAACCCACCAATTTTGTATAAAGATGCCAAAAATATACATTGGAGAAAAGATGACCTTTTTAACAAACAGTGCTGGGGAAACTAGATAGCCACATATAGATGAATGAAACTAGATCCTATATTAAAAAAATAATCTCAAATGAATCATAGACCTTCATCAAAGACCTGAAACTCTGATACCGAGAAGAAAAGTTGGGAAAACATTTTAAGAAAAAGGCATAGATAAAAGCTTTCTGAATAGCACTCTAGTTGACAACTGACAGATGGGATCAGTTAACTGAGTAAAGAGACAGTCTACAGACTATGAAAAAAATCTTTGCTAGTTACCCATGTAACAGAGAATCAACCAAAACTAAGTAGGTATGAAAATGCCATTAAGAAAACCTGTTACTTTGCAAGCTGGTTTACAAATTAAATAAAAACAAAATAAAAGAACAAAAACTGGCCCACTGAGATGGCTGTGTGCAAAGGCATGTGCCTCCAAGCCTGATGACCTGAGTTCGATCCCCAGGGCCCACATGGTGGACGAAGAGAACCAACTCCTGCAAGTTGCTGATTTCCACACTCTCTGTGGCATGCATGCCTCCCCACCCCCTCAAGTAAAGATATACAGAACCCCAACTGGAAAGTCAGCATTGCTGGACTTGTCTATACTCACAGACCCAACCATCAATGAAAAGTAATTAGGAAAATATAAGACAACTTAGTCAGGGACACTGGTTTCCATTCCTCCAGGCTAGCTTCGAAATCACAGAGTTGTGCTCTGATGCCCTCTTCTAACCTCCATGGGCATTGCGTGACATGGGTGCACTTACAAACATGGAGGCAACCCACTCACGCACATAAAACTTTAAAAATGATACCAGTGCCAGGCATGGTGGTGCATGCCTTAGTCTCAGCACTCAGGAGGCAGAGGCAGGGGGATCTCTGTGAGATGGAGGCCAGCCTGGTTTATACAGTAAGTTCCAGGCCAGCTGGGGCTACAGAGAGACCCTGTCCTAAAACTCATGCAGACACAGACACAGACACACACACAGACACACACACACACACACCCTACACAAACAACAAAGTCACATTCAGGTTGGGAGTTTGGTAAACTACGTTTCTGGCACCTTCACATGGAGGCTCTGTAGTCTCACGCTCTTACACATCCACACCCAGTCTTTTCTGCTTTGGCCATGACAAAACAGGTTCTTTTTCCAGCTCACTTCAGTTTAGAGTTAAGGGAAATTGGTTGACTGATATCTCCAAGACTGAAGGATGTTTGCAGGCCTGATGCTATGGCAAGCCCTATGGCAAAAGAAAAGTACTTTAAAGTGATCCTGCTAGGGAGGGTCCCCTGTGATGCCCCCCCCCCCAGTGTTAAGAAAGAGCATCTCTCATAAGCGCCTGCCTTCATACTGTCCTCTGACCCTCTTAGCCGAAAACTCAGTTCAGCCCCTGAACACCGAGTTCAATAAAATGTTCTAGAAAATAAAAAAGACGAATAGGAATAAGCCTCTAGTTGATTAATATTTTACAGGCATATGCTATTTGTAGAGAAAATCTAATCAATATTGACACCTTTAGGGGGATTTTCTCATTTAAGACTTCAAAAAATATTTAGAGGAGTCCTGTCAGCATCTCTGTAAGAACAGGTTTCACCCCATTTCTCTCCACTTTTCAGGTGATTCAGTTCCGTCAAATGACAATTATTATTATTTTTTTTCTTTTGGTCTTTTTGAGACAGGGTCTCCCTGTAGCCCCGGCTGACCTGGAACTCACTCTATAGACCAGGCTGGCTGGAACTCACAGAGATCTGCCAGCCTGTGATCAAAGGTGTGCGCCACCACGCCCAGCTATTCAAGTGACAATTTAAGAGTAAAGTTAAGAAAAGAGAAGACTGAGCATATAGACCTTTCAGAAGTTATCACTACTCCAACAGTGTGAAAAAGGACATGAAATGTTAAAGTCTTATGCTGAGCATGGTGGCATACCTAGTACTTGGGAGGCAGAGGCAGAGATCACAAGTTTGATGATAGCCAAAGCTACATAAACAAGACCACCTTATAAAACAACAAAAAATTAGGTGTGGTGGTCCATCTCTGTAATCCCAGCACCAGGAGGGTGGAGACAGGAGGATCAGAAATTCAATGCCAGCCTCAGCTACATAGTGAATTCAATGTCAGCCTGGGCTACATGAGATCCTATGTCAAAAAACAAAACAAAACAAAACAAAACCAAAAACAGAGGCTGGAGAGGTGGCTCAGCAGTTAAGAGCACTTGCTGCTCTTGCAGAGAACCAGGTTCAGTTTCCAGCATCCACACATCAGATCACAACCATCTGTAAATCCAGTTCCAGGGGATCTAAAGCCCTCTTCTGATCTCTGCAGGCACTGCACACACATGGTGTAATACTTATAATACATAAAATAAAAAAATCTTTAAAGAACCCAAACCAAATACCACAACAAAATAAAAAGTTTTAAAATTAATAACATGTGACTGTAAATAGTAGCACAGTTTATATAAATATCTAAATAGCTAATGCTATACAAGTCATTCAGATATCCATGCTCAAACACCAAAATATTCAGTCTCAAAATTCAAACACCTAGCATGCATCTAGTATAAACACACGCTGCAGACCCCCCAAGTGTGCTGACAACAGGGGCTGGTGCAAAGCCTAGTAAAGGTAGACGTAGTGTCACAGCTATGCTCCTGGACCCAGGAGGGCTGCAAACAAGCTAAGGTGAGACAGGGTAGGCAGTGAAGGAGGCTCATTCTTGCATCATTCCTGCTCTGTGGATCCCACCCACTGACTCAGCACAAACTCTGTCTTGCCCTGAGTGAATCACAGATCCCAGGCAAGGGGGAGGCTGCAGTGTTCCAGCCTTCTCTACAAGTACCAGCAAGGTGAGGCTCAGGACGGGAAGCGCTGATTCACCTCACAACGTGGAACACCCTGCCTGTGGGAAGGCTCTGGAAATGTGCCCAGGTCTAGGCCATAAGGGCATCACATGGAGCCCTTACAGTGTGGCTGGAGGGTGGTGACTTACCACATTCTTCCAGGGGACACTTTTTCATGTGTTGCTATAATTTTAAATGGTAAAAATATTTATAATATTTTTATTTCTGTAAGCTATTCTTTTAAGAGTATGAGGAAGCAAACCAGAATCTTCCATAAGACCAGGGTGGCAGAAGAGAAAGTAAAAACCTTGGATTCACATCCCTCATAGCCACAAGATGCCAAACTGATTTCTCAAACAATTGAGAATTGGAGGCTCCCTAGAAACTGAAAATACAGAGTTCCATGAGAAGTCTGCTGTGAAGAGCAAGTTTTCTGAAGGGGTGGGCAAAGAGCCAACCATCTCTAGGTGATCTCGAAAGCAACACACTGAGACAGGGACCCATAAGATGGGGCAGAAGGGATGGACAGCAGAGACCACAGCTATGTGTCTATGAGGGCCAGTACCACTTTGAAGTATTCACTGGCCTTGTCCAATCTAGGGCTCCCCCTTTGAGATTATAAGCAGTGCACATTCTAGTAGGTGAGCTAGGGTCAGATGAAGGCATGAAGAAACTGACTCTTCCCGGTGGGGTGGTGGTAGGGGAGATAAGCTGTACTAAAAACTCACAAGCCTTCACTGGAAGACCATAAATACGACCATGTGCTTCGTCTTTTTACATTTCCTGTGTTTATTTCTCATTTTTAAAAAATTATGTGTATGTGTATTGGATCCCCTGGAACTGGAGTTACAGATGGTTGTTAGCTGCCATGTGGGTGCTGGGAATTGAACCAGGGTCCTCTGTAAGAACAGCCAGTGCTCTGCTCTTAACTGCTGAGCCACCTCTACAGCCCATATTTCTCATTCTTCATTAGAACACCCCCCCCCAGTAAAGTCTAGTTTATTTTTCAAGCAGAGAGAACGAGGACAAGGTGTCACAGACCACAGTCTGAGTGAGTGAGTGAGTGAGTGAGTGAGGAGTCTGCATCTGGCCAGCATGGTTAGTTAGGACCAAGCCATCTAGAGGGTCCAGAGACAGCTAGTAGTTTGTGACCATGAGGCAAGTGAACCCCCCGAAGCGTGCCAGAGCCAGAAGAGGAAGGCAACTCCTTTTCTTTTTATCCAATTCTAGAAAGACTTGGAGTGTATACATACAGTTCTCCTCCCTTATCACCCCACTCCTCGTCAGTACCAAACAGCCAGTCAGGCATACAGACCAACCCAAGCAACTATGTCTTTCTATTGTTCACCTAAAAGCTACTGGAATGCAGAATCCCAAGGCTGATCTATGCCGGCCTAGGGCAGCCCATAGCACAAAGCTTTGGAAACACTGTTGGTGCCTCATCCTTTCTGGCCCTCATAT